TGAAAGTAAACCTCTTGGACTAACGTCAGTGCAGGTACATGTCACACATGCAAACACTAAGAGCCAGTCAGACAATGTCCCGTCCACCAAGTGTTACATACAGCTGTTTTGTGGAGTGATGAATGACAGTGTGACGATGCTAAATGCTAGAGCTACAAAGTTCATGTTTTAGAAAGAGCCCCCAACACAAACATTTGGTATTGTCGCTGGGCAACAATCCCTAAAAAATGTTTCTACTTTCACTACTTTCATTTACACTTTCTCACTCACACTCAAAAATACAGCATAGTTATATACTGTAGTTTATATAAATATAATTAAATATAAATATTTTATTTGTTTTGATTGCTCTTGTCCCTTATTAACTAAGTAATATGAAATATTGAATTATATTTTTAATCAAAAATATAATCTTTTGTTTCATTTCCCCTTGTAATGGTGTCTAATAAGTGCATGATATTCACAGAAATAAATAACACACAAGATGAATCATGCAGTAAATCACCTTTATTAGAACAATGCCCGTGTTTGGCCAGTTAAAAATGCCATCCAATACCTTGATACATTGAAGTTTTACATGTTTGCACACTCCCAGAGAAGCAGTTTTTTTATTATGCATTTTATAAAGGCAAATTAAAAATGAAAATCACTGTAGTAATTCTGGCTAGTTTTTGGTAGATCCCTGTATCGATGTATTTGCTAAACATTGAATATGCAAATAACCAACAAAAGTTGACATTCATGTCCATTTTTTTTTCCTATAAAACATGAAAAGTTTAAACACTGTTTTCAGACTGAAGTGCCATATCATTGGTCCCCAGTGATGTAATGGAACAAATAATTCCTTTGGCATTTGCACAGACTGTATATAAAAGGGTTCTTCTGGTGTCAATGGATTCCATTTTCATCATTTAAAAATGTGTATTTTTTACTAGTTCACAAAAATTTCCTCAACACAAGCTTGTATTTTACATGTGTTTTTGTTCTGGATATTTTCTTCTTCATTTTGCAAACTTCTGCAGCCCATAGTGAAATTATGACTTGTCAAGACCCATTCATGACATTCAGAGGGAATCTTTTGTTAAATCTTTATTTTCTCAGTGTGTGCTATAAACATTCATAGGACTTGTATATTCCCATTTAAAAAGTTTTAGTGCCATTTTAATACCTTGTTTTCTTTTAAATACTTAAAAGTCTTAATTATGTAAATAATTTAAGATGACACAGTAGAAGTAGAAAGAGTGACACCTGCTGGGTCTTTAGCTGCTGTAGCTCATCTGCTGCAGGGTTGGAGGTACAGTGCTGTAGAATCAACGTTGTGTGTGTGTGTTTTAAATACTGTTGTTTTTAGGTCATCTATTTGAGATGTACTCATCCTGTTTGGCACCACAGACTGGTTCATGTCAGATAGTATTTTTACATTTTTATGGTCTGCTGATAAACCTGATGAAATAAAACAGTTAGATGACATGAAAGCATAGATAAAGTGTGTACAAATACAACTCACTCCATCAATGAATCAGCGGGTGCCTGGTTTTATGCGGGGTGATCTTGGGACGTAAGAACCACCAGTGAGAACTTCTTTAACTACTTTTCTGAAAGTCTCCTCTGCTGTTTTCTTAGAGGCATTTCTTTTTTTAATAGACTCACCCAAACCTGTGCCTTGAGGCACAATAGACATTATTCACAATGATAACTTTCTTTTGTGCAACCTGGTAGCAGTCACGTAGCATTGGTCTGGGGACATTTGGCCTCGACTACAGAATGTTTACTTGCTCAAATCTATTGAGTTATTGGCTTTTAATGAGCTTATTAGAATTTCACATTTATAACTGTTTTGGTTGATTTAGAATTTCTTTTCCACTTTGATCATGTCCATTGGCTCAATATGTATTAGTGCAATTTAGTTTACATCCGTTTTTGTCTGTTTTTGTGCCTTGTTTCCTTCAGTTCAACTCAGGTGTTCTGGTTGTTTTACATTCTCATCTTCGCACACTTTTCCCATTGACTTAGACCATCATTCACAGGCACTTTTAAAATCAGCAGGTGGCTAACTGCTGTTTCAATCGCTCCCCCCCGGCTTCACTTATCACATCATAGAGCTATGTCACATGATATTATCAGTACAATCCATTATGGTTATACGTGTTTCCTCAGTAGGATCCTGGTCCAGTGAGAACAACAGAGGCTCCTGGTGGAAGTTTCTTTGTCATTACCTCCTCTCTCCATGGTCTTCCTCCACCCATGCTACGATCTTACCCTCCCAGCCAGGTACCACTGCTCCGTCATGGAAAACCTGAATGACCAAAATAGAAAATAGAAATAATGAATGAACCATAAAGTTCTGCCTGATGTTTTTGTAAATTCTATGGGACATTACTAACTTGTTTTTGGTCAAACACTTACCTCTTCTTTTACTGTACCAAACTCTGGATCAAGGGCCTTGAAGTGGTACCTAAAACTGCCTTGTCTGTCTACAGCCGCCTTAAAGTCTCGTAGCGTCACTTCACCCAGCCTGTAAACAACACACACAGGACAGTTTAAAGGCTTTTCCTGTATGTTTGGCAGGTAATGACACACAGCAGACAAGTTAACCTCCAGTAAAACAAAAGCTAGCTATCGGATTAGTATAGGTGTCGGCAGATACTGTAGATACAGATACAGTTGCCATATTGGTATCGTCCCCTGAACAAATCAGCATAAAAATGACCTTTGAAGTGGACTTAGGTAGAAAAGACTGATCAGATTACCATCTTTCACAGTTGGTCAGTGTGTAACTTTCAAAGATCTACAAGCCTAAAGTTCACTTTATGGAATTTTTATTTTTTTTAAATCTTGACAAACAGCCATCTAATTTCACAACCCTCCAAACAGAAAACATCCATGATCCTAAACTAAGTCAGCCTGTTGCTGCAGCTCCCTGTGTCATTTTTTTTATTGTCTCGTTTTATTTTCCTCCTTTTTTTTCTTTTATTTTTGTAGCTCTTTAATCAATTGTGGACTTAAGAACATCATTATTTATGAGTTATTTTAACTGTAAGACACTCACCTTTTGGGGATGTTAATCAGAAAAGGAGTAAGAGAGCGATCGGTGAAGTAAAGGACTTTTGTTGAGACAGTTGTGTCTAAACCTGGGCTGCTGTGTGAGTGCGCCATTTCTGTAAATAATCACAATTTTTTTTTTACAATCATGCTTCCAAACGTTCTGCAGTGTTACAGCCAGTAAATGTCTTTCTTGTATACGTCCCTGAAACTAAACAGCACATGAAGGTCTAACAAGCAGAGCTGAGCTGGTATAGACAATGACAAACCCTAACAAAACAAAGACTTTTGTCTCACTTGAGCTTGGTGGCCAGGAGTCGCGGTCTGTCGAGTCTGCTCTGCGACCCGGTGATTTAAATTCCTCCTATGACAAGACAAGATAATCACATTAAAGTGTCTGGATGTGAAGGATGTGTACTCATTGTCTGTAGCTCCGAGACATGACTCTTTACCCCTCTGTCCTGTCTGCGTTGTGTTTCGAGAGTGTGTAACCGGTCCACAAGACTGGACACACCCTGCTCTAGAGTGTCCAGGGTGTGGTGTTGAGGGTCGTGGCCTGAAAAACCATCCCTTAAACTGCGGAGTGCTTCCCTGACCAGTTGAAGCTCCTCACCCTGTCAAACACACAGAATTCAGACCTTGTTCACAGCCCAGTTCCCCTGACTGGTACGCTATCCTAATACTAAATTGAAGTTTTTGTCTTATTTCAGGAATCGTAGGCTGGACTACGGTTTTGGTCCAATTCATTGGAATGAACAACAAGTCAAAATTGCAATATGTCTAATGCTATTTACCCGTGCAAGGCTGAGTTCATGTGCCTTATGTTGCCCCTCATCAAGTTTTGGTTGCTGCTGCTGTTGCATTCGCTCCTTCCTCCCACGCTGCTAATTTCAACAGAAAGGATGAAGGCCGTGAGTCTTTGTATGCCTGTCTGTATCTCAGCAGTGCAATGAAGTGTAAATAATACAAGACAATACCTCATATTCACTCAGTAATTTGTGCTGTTCTTCCAACTTGTGGTGAAGCTCTGCCTACAAACAAAAATATGTCAGTGTGAAATGTGAGCTGCTGGATTGCTTCTCTCGCATTCGTTTGCAACCAATGGGCCGAGCAGAGCTTTATGTCAAATGGAAATCATCACTGGTCTCACATTTTCCCCCTCCAGCTGTTCTTTGGCCATGCTGCATCGGAGAAGCTCCTGCTTTAGCTGCAATACAGCGTCCTCCTGCACTGCCAGACGCCTCTGCAGAGCATCCTAATGAGAAGATCAGAGTAACATGCAGTGAAGGATGGATTAGAATTGCCCTGTACCTCTGAACTCCATCTGAATGAGGAAATCAAAAATGGATGCTGCGGGTGATTGGAAAACAAAGCCAAGAGCTGGAGTGTCCAACACAGGAGCAAAGGCCAGTGAATTACATCCTTTAAATCTACTTTAACTTTAACTTTTAGTATTACTCTAATATCTGGTGGTGAACGGTGTTTTTTTACAACGTTAACAGAAGCCTACCAGCCTCAGCTGACTGTATTTCACAGTAAAGTCCTGTTCACAGCTTTTATTATTATGGTTTATGGATCATATTCACACACAGCAGCACCTGAAGCAACATGGTTGTAAATAAAGACATTAACGTTCAAAATGAATGGCACATATTGAGTAAACAATGGCAAATGTTTTAAAAGATAATTGCAAATATCTCTGAATGATCGAAATCACCAATGTCACAGCAAACTCATGGTACGAGGGCCACTTTTGGCCTGCAAACCCCCCAACATCGGGCCTGCAATTAGATGTCAATAACGATTTAACTAAGACTTTGATGTCATTTCCTATTATC